TGATTGGTGTGACTGTCAGTGACGTCTGTCATAAAGAATTTTAAAATTATGAATAAAGTCTTACTAGTTTTTGCCCAGCGTAGTATATACTTGAAATATTTTAAAACATAGAATAAATCTATTGCCTTTCCTGCATTTCTCTCACTTCTTCCACGTTTACAGCGATTTGAGTTGTTGATGCCGACAAATCCTCTGCGTTTCCCGCAAAATTTGCTTCTTCTAAATCCAACTCCTCTCTTTTACGYCGGCGTTCGCATTTCGGGCATGGCTGTTGATCGTTGAGGCATTGTGCGTGAAAGACGGCGCCACAAATTTCACACTGGGAAAAAGAAATAATAAGAAAATTCATTTCAATTCAACTTAAAATTGCAAATTATAACTGTAGACAGCTATACTCGGCATAACAGCTTACCCTGTATGTTGTTTCAATGTGAAATGGATACAGCACGCGCGAACTCTTGCAAATTTCACAAATGAAACCTTTGACGCTGCACAACGGACACTTCAATACATGCCCCTCGCCGATTTTGTATGCCTTTTGGAGCTGTTGGTAGAGTGTGCCACGCAATATTAAATGTAAATCGCTCACGGAATATAAGTGGATGTGCTCGTAGAGATATTCGCGTCCATAGAATTGCAATTGCAGTAGTTGTATACTTTTCGGCTCACAGGTGTATAGGTAGGCGCGTAGAAAATTCAAACGTATGCGCAAAGATTGCAGGTCGGCCATGGCATCGGAGGCGTTATAAATTTCCGGGTTCAAGAGCTGCAAAATAAATTTCTTTTTATAGAAGCAAAATCAAAAAAAAAATCAAAAAAAAAAAAATTGTTTAATTCGGCTGCACCGAAGCTACAGGTATGATAGCCTTCACAGGTTCCAAGTTTTCTTACAGTGACTTGATTTTCAACGGTCAGTTTGTGTGGCCACTTTATGCTATAGTGGTCAAATATGTACAATTTCTTCGTAGATTGCATCATCWGCCGCTAAGACAAAGTCCTGTTTTGACAGAGTCGTACCATAGGAAAAAGGGTGTTAGATGACTGGAGTTCGCTGGGCATGCGGGCACTCATTGCATGCTGTTATTAAATTTGGTATGTCAGGGTCGGCTCAGRATAAGTAGGAGTCTAACCTATAACAATATCCAGAACGAAGTAGAGTTTTAAACTCGAAACAGTAGAGATAAGTGCCGAGGGCTCATATAGTTTATGTCCTGTTGTTRTTTTTGTTGCAACGGGAACMTAATTCCCGTTAGAATGRTAAGGATTACATAAGTTGTCGTCRACGCCATCCAACGGTTGGCCAAGGAAATGTGCTGTTTCGACGGTGTCGACCCAAAGTGAGAAGGGTGTCAGATGAGTAGGGTATGCAGGGCATGCAAAAAGGTGGTCGGTCAGTGTCATGCGGGGACTCATTGCACGCTGAACATATATTAGATATGTCAGTGGATAAGTACAAGTTTAACCAGCTACAATACCCATAATGAAGTTGCGCAAGGGTCACTCTCGTTTCCCGCGGCAACTTGAGCACTTCGTCTGCAATAGGTGGTGGTTTGACTCCAAGTACGCTATTCACTGAGAAGGAGTCGGTGAAGGTATTAATGACTCCACTATGGATGGAGATCAGTGCTTGTCGGAAGTTAGTTGCGTCCGAAGTCTGATCGGTGTACTGTTTTATGTCGTCAACGTAGTTGAGAAAAGACCTTTTGATGCTGCTAGGAGGCAGTTCCGCACCAAGCAGGTGACCGCAGGAACGAAATCTACGAAAACACCACAGTAGCAACTGCTTGAAGAGGAGTTCATTATATTCTGGGAGCATACGGACCTCACTATGCAAGTGTGCGATGGGAAACATCAAGCGGGATCCTGTCATAGTTCTGAGTACAGTGTTCTAACAAGTTTGGAGCTTCCTCGTTTGCGTTTCACTGCATCCAGGCGACGTAGTTAAGGATCGGCCAGCCGATCGTTTTGTAAGTTGCCAACAACATTTCCTTGTCCTTTCCCCATGTATTGCCGGTTATCGACTAGAGAATTTTGTTGCGGCTCTGTACTTTGGCGGTAACAACGGTCGTATGAGGAATGAAGAGCACAGACAGTGGAAAGTCATACCTAAAATTTTAGGGTTATTGACAGTTAGAATCTTAACGACATCGACTGCAATATTAAAGTCACGTCTGTACTCCGTTTGTGAATATGGTCGCTGTGGATTTTGTGGGACAGTGTTAAGTTCTGTGCAGCGAGGAAGCGAGAAAGATTGGAGAGATAGCCGTTATATTTGAACACATGCCATCGGTTCCATTGCCCAACGTCATTATCGTGCAATCATCAGCTGACCAGATGATAGAAATTTCCTCTGGTGGTTGCGGGAGTTTCGAGATGTAGAAGTTAAACAATAACGGGGAGAGGTTACCACCCTNAGAACGAAGTAGAGTTTTAAACTCGAAACAGTAGAGATAAGTGCCGAGGGCTCATATAGTTTATGTCCTGTTGTTGTTTTTGTTGCAACGGGAACCTAATTCCCGTTAGAATGGTAAGGATTACATAAGTTGTCGTCGACGCCATCCAACAGTTGGCCAAGGAAATGTGCTGTTTCGACGGTGTCGACCCAAAGTGAGAAGGGTGTCAGATGAGTAGGGTGTGCAGGGCATGCAAAAAGGTGGTCGGTGTCATGCGGGGACTCATTGCACGCTGAACATATATTAGATATGTCAGTGGATAAGTACAAGTTTAACCAGCTACAATATCCATAATGAAGCTGCGCAAGGGTCACTCTCGTTTTCCGCGTTTGACTCCAAGTACGCTACTCACTGAGAAGGAGTCGGTGAAGGTATTAATGACTCCACTATGGATGGAGATCAGTGCTTGTCGGAAGTTAGTTGCGTCCGAAGTCTGATAGGTGTACTGTTTTATGTCGTCAACGTAGTTGAGAAAAGACCTTTTGATGCTGCTAGGAGGCAGTTCCATACCAAGCAGGTGACCGCAGGAACGAAGTCTACGAAAACACTCCAGCAGGAACTGCTTGAAGAGGAGTTCATTATATTCCTTAACTGGCAGCATACGGACCTCACTATGCAAGTGTTCGATGGGAAACATCAAGCGGGATCCTGTCATAGTTCTGAGTACAGGGTTCTAACAAGTTTGGAGCTTCCTCGTTTGCGTTTCACTGCATCCAGGCGACTTTATTCATGCGACGTAGTTAAGGACCGGCCAGCTGATCGTTTTGTAAGATGCCAACAACATTTCGTTCTCCTTTCCCCATGTATTGCCGGTTATCGACTAGAGAATTTTGTTGCGGCTCTGTACTTTGGCGATAATAACGGTCGTATGAGGAGTGAAGTGCACAGACAGTTGAAAGTTATACCTAAAATTTTAGAGTTATTGACAGTTAGAATCTTAACGCCATCGACTGCAATATTAAAGTCAAGTCTGTACTCCGTTTGTGAATATGGTCACTGTGGAATTTGTGGGACAGTGTTAAGTTCTGTGCAGCGAGGAAGCGAGAAATATCGGAGAGATAGCCGTTATATTTGAACACATGCCATCGGTTCCATTGTCCGACGTCATTATCGTGCAATCATCAGCTGACCAGATGATAGAAATTTTGGTTGTGGGAGTTTCGAGATGTAGAAGTTAAACAATAACGGGGAGAGGTTACCACCCT